TTCTTTGTTGGATGAAATTACATGAATAATGTGTTACAACTTTGCTTGAAGTGATCTGTAGTTTCAGCCGAGTGTGGCTTTAATGATTTCTGCAGCTGTAATTAGGGCTCCAGTAGTGATCCATGTGATGGTCTGAAAAAAATCATAGAAAGGGCCATTAAAGCTTCTTATGTAATAACAAAATTCATTCAACCGTTATTTATACAAAATATAACGTCTTTGTGAATAACATGTTGACTTAAACCAGTCAAGAGTTAAGGTTAGGAGAGGGTGGCTGTTTTGTTCCACACTGAAAACACTTGAGCAAAGCTGATGTTTGTCATGAAGGCAGGCGTAAAAACAAATTGTATTAATGTCTCTCCTCTCAAATGGTGTATATACACAATCAGCAAGCACAAGGTACAACATTTTCTGTTATGATCGAACATCCTTCTTATTCTTGATTAAGATCTTTTAAATTTTAGACAATCTTCCCCAATTAATTAGACCATTTATTGATTACTTTTGCAAAATAATGCAACAAAAATATTATTTGTTTTAAAATGAATACAAACTATGCACACATGTTCCTGAAGTGGTGTTCTACTGGTGCATACTGTCTTGAAGATGTATTACTCTGATGTGTTAGTAACAAACTTCCAAGAAAACAAACAAACATTGTTTTCTTCATTAATGTGAAATTTTGCAAAGTTATACTCGTTTAACCGACAGGTAACCCTGCGCAAGTTACAAACAACAGATGTGTCTGGAGATTTGCTGCTTACAGCAGATGGAAATATGTCTGTAAAGTGATTCAACACTATCCTTTAATTCTATCCATTATTATTGAGCATGGACTTTGTTGTTTTCATCCATTATCTTTTTCAATTCAGTGTATTTATATAGCACCAAATCACAACAAAGTTGTCTCAGGGCACTTTACAGGAACAGTCACATACATAGAAAAGCCAGTTAGTAAAGTTTTCTATCTAAGGAAGCAGCAGCCAAGTTGAGTCGTCACTTCGTCACAGTCTCCCATCCTGAGCAAGCACAATGGCAGCAGTGGAAAGGAAAAACTCCCTTTTACCTGCTTCTTCCTTTTAAGGTCACAGGGATCACTGGCGCCCATGTCTAGCAATCACTGTGCAAGAGGCGGGGGACACCCTGGACAGGTCGCAAGTCCATCACAGGGACACATAGAGACAAACGAGACAAACAACCATTCACTCTCTCACTCACACCTAGAGACAATTTAGAGTTACCAATCAGCCTAACATGCATGATTTTGGTCTGTGGGAGGAAACCGGAGTACCCGGAGAAAACCCACGCATGCACGGAGAGAACATGCAAACTCCACCCAGAAAGGCCCCTGGACCGGGGTTTTAACCGGCAACCTTCTTGCTGAGAGGCAGCAGCTCTAACACTTGCGTCACTGTCCTACCAACACAAAACTAAGTAAAACATAATTTACATATTTATTAACATTTTATAATAGGCAAATAACTCCTTGGAAGTGTTTGCATTTAAATTAACAGATACAAATATCAATATCTCACAAGGTGCCATAATAAAAGTATTTCCCAAGTACAAAATGCACTCGCACGAGGAATGCTTATTGCCCACCACCTTTCATGATATTTTTAAGTTGAGATAAATACGTGGATTAATGATATTGTAAGATCTTGTAAGATGTGTTAGCACTCAGAGTATGTGCTGAGGATGACTCAGCTGAGCAGTCAGGATTAGGGGGTCAGACCCAAATGAGAACCAGACTGAGGGAAAGCAGACTCAACTCGAATATAGTTTACATTGATTTGTTTACAGTGAATTTAAATAAAACGAGGAAATAGAGTGAGTCGAGGATTGTAGAAGAATGTTTCTTGATTCTCAGGTTGGCGAACTGTATAGTGGAGACCTCAATGTGTGGAGAGGAGGGTAAGTGGTTAGAGGCAGTGGAAGATAGTAGGGCTGGTGGTGGAACGACGGTTGAGCAGCTGACGGTGAGTAAGGTTCCTTTGTAGGCACAATGAGATTGACAAGGGATCCAAGGTAGGAGACTTCAGGAGGCAGATACTAGGAGCATGAGGAGAAAGCAAAGTATATATATATATATATACTGTATATAACTATATATAGTTTACTCATTAATAGCATATTTGGCTGCAAGCAACTACCAAGAGTTATGCTGCTCATTGGCACTGCCCAAAAACCAGGAAGTTGTGGAAAAAGCAATATCCCTACAATAGCCATTTTTGTGTTGACGAAAGTTGATCAACTATGAAGGTCTTCAATTGACTTCAAAAGTTGATCGACTGTAGATGAACATCCAATGGATATTTCATGAGATTTTTATAAATAGAATAGACATTTTGCTAACAGACAGGTACAAATGCCAACAAAAGATCATGCCCATAATAAAAAGTACTGTGAAAACTTGTAGTGGTCTGAGTTGGGTATGATGCTCAGCTACCACCATTAACTCATGATTGGCTGAGTTATGGTCAGTTATGTGATTTTAATTGTTTATTGACTGTAGAGGCCATCTTGAATGTGATTGGGTTGACTCCAAACATTAATCAGTTATAAATGTATGTCAGATAATTACTGTCTGAAATTTATCTTCATGAGACATTGTGCCAATAGACAGACACAGTTGACTCCTATGGCAAAGCTTTAAAAACAAATTCTGTATGTCAGTTTGCACTTTGAGTGAATGACTCTCAGCTACACACAACATCATTTCAGTGGTTTATATAATTATTACTGATGCAACAAACAAACAAACAAACACACACAAACACACAGTTAAAAGCATGATTGCTTATAGGCGGTGGGTGATATTAAGACATTGGTAGAACATAAAATATATAGGAAACATATAACAAAATGTATCTGAAACATTTAACAGGATTTTTTTCTTCTTTTTGCCTGAGCTTCACCTCTCACCCAAGTTTAATTAATGTTGCCTTTATGACTTGATCTAAAGTTTGCTGACAGACAGAAGCACCTGATAATGATCACATCATTTCCCCTCAGCTCTCAGAATGAAGACACTGTCTTGTTTTATTGTCTGCTATCTTAATCTTTTTGTCCATAAATCAATGTGTTGTTTCTTTCTTAATAATAGCTTTGTTGCCCACCTAGGCCATAATAATCTGTCTTCCATCTCACTGAGTTGGTGTAATGATTTCTCAGCTGAGCTGTTAATAATGGAGATAACAGCCTCCCTTCCCAGTTCTGGACACGTAGCTGTAGGTTAATGTGCCAAGAGTCTGGTCCATGAAATTATCCACCATGTGGGGGACGGCTTCTTTCTTCTGAAGTGAAAACACTGAGTTTTGGTCTATTTTAAGCTCAACGTTTGTGGTCAAAATCACCAGTGGAGGATTTCTTTCTTTATTTTATTTTTTTAATCAGTTATTTCTATTTGCTCATGTCCTGTAAATGACATTCTTATTGTTTTGTAATTAGAGCACAATTTTTTTATTCAAAAATGTGAACAAGAAATTAATGACAAATGGTTTTTGCACAAATTCAATTTTGTTTTCATTTTAAACTGTGCCATTCTGTATATCTTTAGCCCCTATGGCCATGAAAGGGAGGCAATAATGTAATTGTCTGTCTGTTAGGAACATATCTAATGAACCACATCCATCCATCCATCCATCCATCCATCCAGCCATCCATCCGTCCAGCCAGACATCCAGCCAGACATCCAGCCAGACATCCAGACATCCAGCCATCCATTGTCTTTACTTGCTTCTTTCTTTCCGTGTTGTCGGAGTCACCGGTGGCCATATTCAGCAGTCACTGTGCGGGAGGTGGGGGACACCCTGGACATCACAGGGACATATGGAGACAAACAAGACAAACAAACATTCACTCTCTCACTCACACCTAGGGAAAATTTAGAGTTAACAATCAGTCTAACATGCATGTTTTTGGTCTGTGGGAAGAAACTGGAGTACCAGGAGAAAACCCACGCAGCACGGAGAGAACATGCAAACTCCACCAGAAAGGTCCCCTGATGCCAACCACAGAACATATTTTCATAAAACTCTCAGAAACAAATTATTAGATAAACATCTATGTATGTTTACCTTTTGGAGTTAATACAGTAAAAAATGGCTGCCACAGATGACTGATCTTACAAATCACAAAAATGGCTATAACTTGGAAACTTTTACAAATACTGAGCTAAACTGTAGTGTGGCAGCAGCTGTGAACTGACTCTTCAGTGTCAACCACTGGTGCAAAAACTGGGCTAATTGCTTCTACGTTTTGTGTTCTGACACAAATATAGACCTCAAATTAGACAATATTTTTGCAGAAATAAACTATTTTAATATTTTCCACTAGCTCACAAAATTATGCTAACCTACAGAATGGTAAGCAATGAATCTTGTGTTATTCGATAAAACTAAAACTGCACAAAGCAGCACTTTAACAATACCAGTTAATTCTTTGTGAACTTTGGTGCATAAAAAAAAAATCTTTGGAAACACCAAAGAAAATAAACCATCTTGACAGATGGTGTGACATGTGCACTTACACACAATGGCTACTATAATTTATTATTTTAGTTAAATAAGATGGCAAGTTATTCTCATGCAGGCGAGTACCTGTCTAGTTTGAGACTGAAGATTTACAGTGAAGTGCGAGGTCACTAAACAAGTCAAGAGCTCAGCTTAGGATGTTGATGGAACGTGTGTTATAAATACAGTGACATCCCTTGAGGAGCCCACTGGTATATGCTTTCACTGCTACCCAGCTTGTTTTTATGATATTTGACCTTCTTTTACAGACAAGAGACACAATGTAGCTCGGGTCATTTTTTTTACTCTTCTGACAGGCAGAGGATTAGAGATGATGGAAAGGCTGAGCTACAAATCAGATGACCTGCAATGAATAAGAACTCTATAACTCAAAGGGACAAGACCAAATATTACAGGCAATCCATCTTCTTCTTGCTCCATGATGTTTTTACTGTTTGTCTCTCACTTTTCTCTTTCCCCCACCAGGCTTATCCTCGCAGCTCTCTAACAAAGAAGCAGCCCACAGTGCTGGTGATCTGTGGTCCGGATCAAAATGGCTCCATAGGTCTGGTGTGTGCTCGACACCTGCGCATATTTGTAAGTACCGTACTTGCTGCCGTACACATATCACTGTCGTATAAGTCACATAAGTCCAAATGTGTCCAATAAAGTAGAAAAAAAAATGTCGCTTCGCCGTATAAGTCGCATTTATTATGCGTCATTGCTGACGCATCACGTTTGCTATGCGTCACTGCTGACCACCTGGAAATGTGGGCCGATGATGTGCCAAAAATTGATTGGTTGCTAAATGGCGGTCGCAGGAGCGTGCACAGGTGGACTTTAACAAGAACATTTCTTTAATAAATGCACTTTGATGGTCAAATCAGTTGCATTTCAAAAGCCGAAACGCAGAAACAGGAGCATGCAGAGGGAGGTCTTGCTGTGCATTTCTTCGAAATTTACCTAGATAACCACCTAAAAACAATTGTTTATTTGCTCGATATAATAGTAAAGGTGTGTCTCTGTTGAACTTTTCTTTAATAAATGCACTTTAATGGTCAGATCAGTTGCATTTCACCTGGGTGATACGGCAAAATGCAGCTGATTGAACATTTGCTCCAGGAGTTCCGGAGCGAGACAAAGTTGACTTTAGTATGGCAAGCATTAATCATTAATAGTCACTTTTTCCAATTAATGAGACACTTGGCTTGCCATATTACTCCAGCACCCTCTAGCGGCTGAAAATGGCAGTGTTCAATATTTTCCATGTCAGAATGAATGAAATAGTCAGATCTCAGTCAAAATTATATGGGGGTGAGGGGGGGAACGAATAAGTTGCTTTACTGTATAAGTCGCAGGGCATGCAAATTTATGCAAAAAGATGTAACTTATGCAGCGAAAAATACGGTAAATAGAAAGTACAGAAGTTTACGTGATTCCTGCCTATCCATTGACCTGGCAATGTATAACAATCAGATACTCACTGAGTCATTCAGACATTTAAAAAATGAAGAGACGTTTAAACTAAGACCATCTTAAAATGAGACGGAAAAAAAATGGTAGTCAAACCTTGTAACTCACATTATATATGATCTCATACTATGTTGTGAGATTTCACAGGATGTGAAAGTTCACAGACTGCGTTTAGGATGCCTCTCAGCTCCAAACACGCTAAATATTGGATCAATATCTTTAAAACTGACAGAGTTACAGCCACTTTTACGTTGGCTAATGTTGCCATAAAAAGGTACAATGTAAAGTGCTCCATGTATGTGTTGGTGATGATGCTGAGCCACTTGTATTGGTCTGTGTTTAGAATGACTCTCAGCCACTCACACACCAAATTTTACCTCAGTATCTATAAAATGTAATGACTTATAGAGGTAATAAAACAACAACATGCAAACTCTAACTTGTGTTGTGTCTATTGGGATTCCACAGCCAGGCACTAAGTGCTTTACAGAGTTTCATTTTGGCGCCTGTAAATGCCTTGAAACAGTTATTCCATTACACTCACGGTGAGGGCACTCAGACAGTCGTGATAATATGCCATTTTTATTCTCAGTAATGTTGTCTCAGAGTTTCACCCCCGCAGCATGATGTCAGGTGGTGATGTCTGCAGCCCAGGGCCACATACTGAGAGACATATCAGGGCAGTCAGTTTTAGGAACAGTGATCCATCCTGTCCAAACAGTGGAGACCATTTTTGCTTCCTTTGTTTCTTGCCATTATGCTGCTGTTTTCCTGTTTTGGTCTACTAGAGAGGAAATATCACATGTGAAACTGATTTGCACATTAGAGTCAGAGTCAGAGTTTTTTTTATTGTCATTTGCACCTCATGTGGTGGAGCGAAATTATGTACACAGGGTCCCAGTTACATCCAACAATAAAATGTATAAGAAAAACAGTAATAACATCTAAGATATGAACTAAGAAAAACATCAACTAAATATACACTAAGCACTAATAACATAAAAACATTGAACATCAGCACAAACATGAACATGAGTCTGTGTGAGCAGATGAGCACGCATGAACACATCAACATGAAACAGATCAGCAGCAACATGAAACAGATCAGCAGTAACATGATGTGATTTTTCACAGTGATTATTCTAGTTAGAGATTCATGAGTCTAACAGCCTCAGGGTAGAAGCTGTTCCTCAGTCTAGTGGTTCTACACTTAATGCTCCTCAACCTCCTTCCTGAATGGGGCAAAAAGTGTGTGTGCTGGGTGAGTGAGGTCCTTCATGATGCAGGTAGCCCTCTTCCTGCATCTAGAGGTGTAGATGTCTGTGATGGTGGGGAGGCTGATTCCGACAGTCTTCTGTGCAGCCTTCACCACTCTCTGCAAAGCTTTTCTTTCTGCAGCTGTGCAGCCTCCATGCCACACATTGATGCTGGAGCACAGGATGCTCTCCACTGCACACCTGTAGAATGAGGTGAGGACTGAGCTTCCCAGACCAGCTCGTCTCAGCTGTCTGAGGAAGTAGAGTCTCTGATGAGCTTTCTTGATCAGGCTGGTGGTGTTGTTGCTCCAGCTGAGGTTGTCATTCATGTGTACACCCAAGTACTTGTAGCTGGAGACCACTTCCACCACAGATCCTCTTATGTTCAGGGGGGTGTAGGTGTGTTTGTTCCTTCTGAAGTCCACAATCATCTCCTTTGTCTTCTTCACACTGATGTGAAGGTTATTCTCTCTGCACCAGCTCTCCAGATGTTCCACCTCTTGCCTGTAGCTGGACTCATCGTTGTTTGTGATGCATCCCACCACCGCTGTATCGTCTGTAAACTTTACAATGTGACAGCCTGGATGGGTAGCTGCACAATCATATGTGAGCAGAGTAAACAGGAGGGGGCTCAACACACATCCCTGAGGAGAGCCAGTGCTGAGGGTTATGGTGGAGGAGGAGAGGTTGTGGATCCTCACTAACTGTGGTCTGTTTGTTAAGAAGTCTAGTACCCAGTTGCAAATGGAGGGGCTTAGTCTTAGTGTGGATAGTTTGTCCATCAGGATTTGGGGGATCATGGTGTTGAAGGCGGATGTGAATATACCCTGTGTATATAAAAAAACTACAAAAAACAAAAGAGAATTTCAGATTAAAAGCAAGTCAACACAAACAATATGGAGGGTGATGTGTATTGTCTCCAGGAAAACTGAACCTTTAATCAATGTTTCTTCTCTTTTAATATTTTTTTTTTTACCTTGCCTTATTTAATTTATTGTAACAGGGTTACACTATTTTTAAGAGTCCCACACATACACCCCCCCCCCCCCCCC